GGTTACAATTTTGTGAGCTGGACAAGAAAACTTGGTAACCAACCAATTAGTAGCCATGTAAAAATGAACCATGATTGACTGCTCTCATCGAGCAATACGTGAAACTATAACTGATCTGCCTTTGATCACTGCAAATCTCCTGACGGGCTGTTGTGTGGTACCATCAGGTAATAAATATAAAGTCTTTAAATTGTCCCAACAAAACAAATAATGCATTTGCTGCTGTACATAACATTTTTAGAGGTAGCTGTGGAGGTTAATTTTCCAATTTCCAGTGAGAATAAGGACATGATAGAATCCTTCAAGCAAGATGACAACATAGTGAAGGCTATGAGAACGAGCAAGGTATGCTGACTAATTGTCACCCTTTTGTATACTTGCTATCTATTTACTCATTACTACCCATACCAACAAGTAAAATCATGATTATGAAGTGTAATGTCAGAAAATCCAACATTGAGGAATTTGTTGCAATGTGTAGTACTAGCTCACAGGAAATTTTCATTGACCCCAACAAGCCCATACCATATCTTGGAGATAGGCTGACATAATTCAAGTAAGCAGTAACAACAATCAGCAAAAATATGCACCAACCAAAAATATTACATGTGCACATATCATCAAAAACATGCACCAATCAAGAGCAGTCTATACTTGACAAATCCTTCAAAATATGCACTAATCATCATACTACCATCGAGTAATACATGATACTATAACTGATCCTCATTCCATCATTACAAATTTCCTCATGGACTGCTTCTGTGCTCGCCTTTTTAGTTTTTAATAACTAAGCATCAGCAAATACATATACACAGTCTTCAAACTATCCCAACAAACCAAAACATGTGTATGCTCCTGTGAATATACTTTTTCTATATCTAGCAGTGGGGGGCCATTTTCCAGGGGAAAAAGTACTTGATAGCATCTGTCAAGCAAGATGATAGCATAGTGAAGGCTATGTCGACGAGCAAGGTATGCTGGCCAACACCCACCTTTTTCTCTTACTTGCATGAAAGTGTTTACCCATTACTACCCATACGAACAAGTAAAACCATGATTACGCAGTACATTGTCAGATTATCTTGCTGTAAAATTAGTTGTTGCAATATGACCTACTAGTTGACAGTAAATCTGCGAATACCCGAAACATGCACACAAGCAAGTGTCAGATTTTAACTTGGGCGGTGCTACTAGATTGCAAAATTAAGGTCAGATCGACATTAGAAGGGCAGGGAAGATCAATCCTACCTGCGAAGTGGTACCAGACGGGGCTGGAGTAGACTTGTTCAAAGCTGGCACCACCGGAGCTTCGGGCGGCACGACAAGGATTGGGGAGAAGAGGTGTCGTTGTCGGACCTTGCTGTCGATGAAGCAGTGGAGAATCATGGCCGGATCAGGGGGGAGTGGGTGGCCTCACGGGTCTGGCCGATTTGACGACGAGGGGGGCGGCCAAGGTGACGGCTTGGCAAACCCTAGCCGTCACCCTCCGCGTCGCCTCTCTGTCTCTGCAAAGAATGAAGTGTGGTGGGATTGGGAATGGGGTTGGGGTTGGGGCCATCGCTCGCTTTTCTCTCTGCCTCCCACTTGTGCAGGCCCACAAAAGGAACAAAGTGTTGGGCCGGATCAATGCAGATTTGGCAGCTTTACCAATTCTGGCCAAACACAAAAGACCAGCATGACCATAGGTGTTCTTTTAAAGAAACCCTAAAAATACACTGCTGTTCATATTGCATGTGGATGAGTCTTTCAGTACCAATTGATCTTGAATAATTTTAAGCACTCCACAGTATATATATATATATATATATATATATATATATATATATATATATATGAAAATAATGGTTAACCAATAAAATGGTAAACTATTAGATGCAAGGTTGCAAATATTTGAAAAAATGAATAATTAAATTGTATGCATTTTTATGATTAAATTTAATAAATGTAACTTTTTTGCAAAAACTATGATAAATTAAAATATTCATTGGTATTTTCAAAAAAACCACGAATGACTACTTATGCCAACCAAAACTTCTTCATGGTTTCGTTTATTCATCTATTCTTTGGCATGCTGGTTCTCATAACGCCTTCTTTGGACCTTCTCTTTGTCCGACAAATTCCTGAGATATTGGGCTAGCGCCTTGTGTTTCTCCCTCACACCATGCTTCATTTGCTATCCTCTGGCAACTCCTTCGGCGTGCTCAAGAATACTAACGAAAGCCGGGTCCAGATATTTGCCATAGAACGCGCAACGATATGCCATACACTTAAGCACGTTGCACTGTCCATTCTGCAATTCTTCAAGGGTTTTCTGAGTGTGTGCATCCATCTCTCCTTCGGAAATGTCTGCATAATCATGAGAATAAGGCTGCAAGTTTAAATTAGGTATGATATAAGCTGCACCATTGTTTACAGTACCTAATATTCCCTAAGTTTCATACTGTAGTGCCTATAAATTATTTTTAAAGTAAATATTTATTAACTTTGAAAATTTAAGGAGAAAAAAGCAATATCAAATCCATATTAAAGCATAAATCATATGATGTACTTTTAAAAAAATTGTCAATAAACATGCACAACCTTTATGATGTCTGACTTTTAGCATAAAACCAAAACGCACTAAATTGTGGAGTGGGTGAACCATTAATTTCTCAAAGATTGATTGAATAAATAATGATCATTACGTACTGACGATCAACATTATATTTAGAGCTAGATTCCATTATGCCAATTCAACAATGTATTGATGGTTTAATGATTAACCTCTAACCTTAAACTCGAAGACAGATCTAGGGTTAAAAAATTAAAATTACCGTAACGGAATTCCAGTCCATGCCGTGCATGTGCTGCTGCTTGTGATCGACGACGGAGTACTGCACCTTGTTGACACGATGCTTCTCTGGGTCGGACACCGAGTAGTCCAAAGCTTTCTCGTGGGGATCCTCATCCATGCGATGGACGACGACGTCGGTGGTTAGCTCCGCAAGTCCATGATCTGTCACGACGGCATCCATGACAGGCCCCCCACGTCCATGGCCCCGCTCTGTCATGACGGTCAATCGACCTCCACGAGTGGATTTCATATCCGGCGGCAGAGAGGCGCGCGTGTGAGCGGCGGCGATAGTTTTAGAGCGTGCCCTAGGGGGAGAGATGCGGGGAGTAATTGGTAGTTACCTACTATAGCGGAAAGACTTCGGCGTTGGGCACCTACAATGCAGCTGGCTTATTTAGGCACTTAATTAGGATCCTGGAAAAAAATCACAATCGTAGGCGCTTGGGGGCAAGCGATAGGAACTGGATTTTGTACATCTACGTGATGCAATCCAAAGTTCGTGTCCGAGGTGGATGGGTTGGGGATTGAAAATTTTGTACCCTGGTGCTCAATACTTGTGAAACATCAGATCAAATTGTCATCAATTGATCTAGAAATTTCAAACCGAGAAAGAAATGTACATAGAGGCCACTATAGTATTACTTGGATCGAGACTTTGTGATCATCATGTAGCCACGACACAACCAACACGATGGTCTCCGTGGCCATGTAGACATCACACCATGCACCGTTGGCCACCTAGAACCTCTAGCCATGCATCGATAGTCGTCACGTCTCGCATGCATTTGTGATGCTAGAAATGTCATCACGTGATGTCATAAACTAAAAGGCGTGTGACAATAATTTGAAAAAACAACAAGAAAATACTCCGTCCCAAAATTTTGACTAAAACATGATTTGATACGTTGGTATTTACACAAATCAAAGACAAGAATTTTGCGACAGATGGAGTACTAAAGCATCATAAAAGAGCCACCCTGTATTTTGTGTGGTTAGGATCATGGATATTGAAAGTCTCCATGTTATCGTCGTGGCAGATTCCCCTGTTGATACCCCGGCCGTCAATGGTCCTTAACTATTCAACATTCTAGATAAGTAGTTATTATGAATTCTGACAAGAAGCGATCCAAAATTTTTTATTTACAAAGAAATTAATTAACAATGCTCAAGTAAAACAGTGATGAAATCCAGCTTCTTTATGCATTAGCCGCTGCTTAGAGATAATCAATGCTTAAAATCATTGTCACAATCACTTAGGTAGATCATTAAATTAAAACCAAAAATCAGTGCTCAAAGAACAAAACCAGCAAAGCATTTACTCAACATTTTAAGACCTTATTTGCCTAGTGCATAACTCAGGCTCAATGCAACTCAATCTTTATGTTATTATCACAATCATCTGCATAGGAAATTCAATTCCAAGGTCCAGCTACGAAATAGTATAAGCACAATAACCAACCATAGCCGGGTTATTAGCAGAACAATTTATATAGATCAAAAAATGACCTCTAAAGTGCTCAACACATGTAACCTAGCAAGTTAGGTAACACATCTACACAATCTGGATAGGCATCTCATCGATTAAAGAAAAAAAGAAACCATGTCCTTCCCCCAAAATAGAGAAAAGGACAGACCAGACATTTCCGTTTTGAGTCACCATCTTCCTTCTTGAAAACCACATGTACACACTCATCATGTATACCATAACACATCAGAATCTGTTAACGAGCGCTCACAAGCTTAACTAGCTTCAAACGAACCTAGCCAATCAGGGTTTTATGCTACTTAATCTAAATGAGCCGATGATTAATGAGCACGAGTTTAACAAGCAGAGATGCCAAACCACACACCAATTAACATAGTTCTACCTTAGTTCAACACTTCAATACATACAAAAGCAAGCACCACTTAGTAGTACTGGTGCACATAGTTTGACCATAAACGTTCACCAACAAAGTATAGCATACGGTAGTACTTAGCATAGTTAAAACCAAAAGAGCATCAGTTCTAGCTGCGAGGGTGCACACGTCCCTAAAGCCTCAAAGAAGCCTCATCAAGTACTCGACATACGCGGCGTGCTTCACCCTGAAAGCGTAGCCATTCTTGATGCTGCCTTGGGATGTTCCGGTTGCATGGTTGATGGTACTTCTCAGGTCGCCTTTCATCAGCTTGTTGTAGTAAGGGCATCCGTAGCCCCCCTTCCGATTCTTGGCCTGATACGTTTCTCGAGCACACCACTGTTCAGCTCCCTCGCCTTCTGCCTCCTGTAGATCCTCTGGGTTTCTTGGTCGCTGTCGACGTCATCACTTAGGACCTACATGTAGTACCAAATGTTGCGTAAGTATATCTAATATGAGAATTCGGCAGTCATAGAGTCTATGAAACATAATGTAATTGATGACAGCGTAAAATATCTTCAAATGATGTTGAAAAAATAAATGCATAACTTATTAGTTGGTACATAAGCAACTAAATGGGATAGTACCATATAGTAAAAAAATGAAGGATCAATCATACATGTCGAAGAGAGCACTAGCATTGCCACATTTTGCCACACATTTTTCCCAAGCTTGCCTAAGGTTAGTTCATCAAAATGAGAGCCACAAGTTGGCAAGCCTAAGGGAACCTTGCCACACTTTTTGTGTGTATGCCATGTGGGACCCAAGTGTGGCTTGCCTAAGGTGTGGCTGGAACCGAACACTCACTTAAGTTGGTCAAACTTGCCTAACCTTAGGTATGGCAATCTTTGGCAAAGTCACTAACCAAACAGCCTTTAGTGCAACAAAATTCACTTGTTACGTAAAAATGCATGAACTGATGATGTAACATGGCAGAGCAGCATACAGATGTACTAATGCAAAAAAAGACTTATAACTTACATGCATGACTAGATAAAATAGCTCGTGAGCTGTATCTATTTAGGGTTAGAATTTTGTGTGTTTATGATGATGGATATTGAAAGTCCACATGTTATCGTCGTGGAAGTTTCCCCTGTTGATCGATACCCCACCCATCAATGTTCTTGAACCATTCAACGTTCTAGGTAAAGTAGTTAATTATTATGAATTCTGACAATAAGTGATCCCAAATGTTGTACTTACAAAAAGGGTTTTTATCATTTATGCCACCAGTTGTGTCCCACAATTAAGTATCACCACTAGGAATTTCTACTGCTAAAAAAGCCATCGCTTCTTTAGACACAAGCTCAAAAATGCCACTGCACATCATTATTGTGATATCAAATCTATCGTGACATGCTATAATGGCATCAATACCCAGCTCTCCCTCTATCTCACTACAATAAAGTGTGGGTCCACTTGATCCCAACAGCGTTCTTATTTTCTTGTAAAATTATTTGCTTACTTACTCCTCACAAGTGGGGCCATACTTATCATTGTGAGATAGAGAGAACTGAAATGTGGGCCTGGGCTTTTTTTGTCATATTGGATGGTCAACTAGTTTTAAATGAAAATAACAATGTCTAATGGCATTATTGAGCAAACATCTAACGGAACGATGGCATTTTTTATACATCTAATGGCATTTCTGAGTAAGCATGTCACGAATCGATGGCATTTTTGAGCGACTATAACTTCTAAGGGAAAAACTGAGTAGTGGGATACAACTGGTGACATAAATAATAAAAACCCTACAAAAGAACTAATTAAAACAACTCAAGTAAAACATTAATGATATCCAATTTCTTTCTAAAATAGCCATTGCTTAGAGATAATCAATGTTTAAAGTCATTGCCACAGCCACTTATGGAACATTTAAACCAAATATCGATCAAGTGCAACCAAACATGTACTCGACATTTTAATACCTTATTTGCCTTGTACTGACTAGAGAAAACCTAGGATATTACATAATAAATAAATAAATAAAGGGGATAGATGACTAACCTCTTCTTCGTTCTCGTCGGCGACGACCACAGGTGGGGGCAGGGGAGGCGACATCCGCGGCAGACGAACACCCGGCTGAGGCTGAGGAGCCACCACCTGCTCCAGCAGAGGAGCCAGAGGAGCTACCTGTTCCGGATTATCAGCAGAATAATTTATATAGGTCAAAAACTGACATATACATGCCTCAATAAATGTAATCTAGCTACACAGCTGCGGATCCAGGATTTCATACTTGGGTGTTCAAAAATTTATATTGCAAACTAAAACCACAACATTATTTTTCAAATGGAGGGAGTAATATCTAAAATTTACATGTGAAAAGATTCTTAGTCCATTGTAATGACAGTACTGACATGAATGACAGAAAATGAAGATTATTTAATTCATGACCATACAATATGATATTTTCATAAACAAGGCATGGTGTTGTTATCCTTAAGTTGCAGAAAATATTTTCACAATCACCTACGTAGGCAATTCAATTCCAAGGTCAAGCTACGTATTTGTATTAGCACAGTCACCAAACCTAGGTGGCTTTATTAGCAGAATAATTTATCTACATCAAAATATTGCCTATACAGGCTCAACACATGTAACCTAGCTAGTTACCTAACAAATCTACAGAATATTGATATGGAGTCCATTGATCAAAGATAAAAAGAAACCCTGGCCTTCCCCAAAAATAGAGAAAAGGACTGACCAGAGCACACCTAGGATTTTACAAAAAACTAAAGGAGATAGATGACTAACGTCGTCTTTGTTGACGTCGCCAGCGACCACAGGCTCGGGCACCGGAGGCGTCACCCGCGGCAGAGGAGACACCTGCTCTATCTGAGGAGCCAGAGCAGCTACCAGGGCCCACATAAATGGCTGTGCAAGGACAGTTTCATGCCGGTCAAGTACCATATATAAGAAATTTCGGCCAAAAAAATTTCGGGTGCAGTACTGTACGTCTGTACCAGTGCTGCTGCTATCAAAATTTGGCATCAACACATTTTGGATGCACGAGAACCATGAGATCCGAGTGGTTCGTAGATCTTAAATAAAGATAACCTATACAATGAGGAGCCGACCGCCACACCCATGCACCCATGTGGATCCGCCCTAAAACCTAACGGATCTAATGAATCTAGGTTGACACCTATGATTGAACAGAGCACACCTAGGATTTTACAAAAAATTAAAGGAGATAGATGACTAACGTCTTCTTTGTTGACATCGCCGACGACCACAGGCTCGGGCACAGGAGGCGTCACCCGCTCCGTCTGAGGAGCCAGAGTAGCTACCTGGTCCCACATAAATAACAAAATATTTTATATAGATCAAAAATGTCATATACATGCCTAAACTAATGCAACCTAGCAACACAGCTTCGGATCCAGGATTTCAAAGTTGGGTGTTCAAAAATTAATATTGCAAACCAAAACCACAACAATATATTTCAAACGGCTGAGATCAAGTTGGCTTTTGAGTCCAGAAGGCATTCTTCCGCCTCTGCATCTGTTACTCACGAAATTAAAGAGTTAGGAGTACATAATAGCTAAAATGTTCATGTGAAAATATATTTTTTTTCATCATACTGACAGTATAGACATGAATGACAGAAAATGAAGATTATTTAGTATGACATTTTCGTAAACAAGGCATGGTGTTGTTATCCTTTACTTGCAAAAAATATTATGATGAAAATAAGCAACCAAATAATATATTTCAAATAGGGATGATAACAAGTCAATAATATTACAACCTATGGTAATTGGACTCCAGGAATCAAGCAATTGGTGTAGAGCAAATTGAACAACAAAAAATGTGTCTGTTGGATTAAGCGTAAGAGGCTAGTTTTATACAAATTGACATGAAGTTTAGTGCATAAACTACACCACTTTTAGTACATTTAAAATAAAAGAACCATATATAAGAAATTTGGGGCAAATAATTTCGGGTGGTTGATAGATCTATCTTAAAATTTGGCATCAACACATTTTGGATGCACGAGAGCCATGGATCGGAGTGGTTGGTAGATCTTAAAAACAAGATAACCTATGCAATGAGGAGCCAACCCCCACACCCATGCACCCATGTGGACCAAACCTACCTGATCTAACGAATCTAGGTACGGATTTCATAGATGGAAGAAAAGCAGAAACCCTATCCATGCCCAAAAATAGATAAGGGACTAAACAAGGAAACCTAGGATATTTCCTAAAATAGGACTGACCTCTTCTTCGTCGTCGTCGCCGTCGATGTTGACCACAGGCTGCGGCAGAGGAGGCAGATGGCATGGTAGAGGAGTCACCTGCTCCGGCGTAGGTGACACCTGCACTGGAGCCTGGACGTGGTCGACGACGTCACGGCCACCCTGCTGCCGGCTGGACCCCTCGCCGGCGGGGAGGGGTTTCTCCATGTGCAGCTGCACACGGTGCTTGGATGCTTCGTGCACCATGGCGTCGGCCCCGGCGTCGGCCCTCCCTCCCATGGTGCGCTTGGGCATCTCGACGGCGGAGGTGCAGCGGCGAGAAGGGAGCAGTGGCGGGGTGGGCAGGCGAGTGGTGAGGCGTGGGAGGAGAAAACCCTCGATTTTGTAGATGGGGAAGAGGATGGGAATAGGGCGGCAGCAATGTGATAAATGCTAATGGGGAAGCGGAGCGTGCTATGGGGAAGCGGAGACGCCGATTTAGTCGTGGGCAGTGAAAAAGAGTTGTTGCCACGTTCACACCTCCCCGTGCATTGTTCACACCAAGACGTCTTGCCACGTCAAAACGCAACTTCTCACTTATCACTAAAATGAATAGCCCGATCGTGCACAGCCATGATTTAGGAGTAATGCAACCTCCCTTCAAAAAATTGTGTAATGCAACTGCTCCCTCATTACACAGAACAAAGTCATATAGTGGGACAACTGAATTTGTAGGCTTGTTTCATCTGCACGTGTCATGTTTTATATTTGTCCTAAAATATGTTGTAAAACTTTACAAACAATGGAATGGAAAATAGATGTGACAAAACTTCGTCAGCAACCGCGCGGATTCGTCTGCCATATATCCGATGTCCGGTACCGAGGAGGGGAATGTTGATCCACGCGATGCCATGTGTTTCGTCTGGATCCATCTCATGCACCCCGAGCCAACCGGGCCAAAACATGCGCCGCTAGCCTTCTCGATCCAAACAAGGAGCTAGTGTCCACCATGCGCAGAGATGCTCATGCGGACATGTTTGCTAGCACTAGTGAATGACGTCGGATCTCGGTGTGCAATATGTGAAGCCGCGTGTCTCTTTGGCGTGCCTGGCATACCGAAGGGACTCGTCGAAGGTCCAACGAACCGCAGTGGGGTCAATGCTGGATGTATGGTGTGGGTCAACCTGGCCAACGGTGCATGGTTTGAGTTTAGGTGGCTAGGTTTGCATGGCTGGGGTGCTAGATGGCTAATGAGTGCGCATGCGTCATCTGTACATTGTCAAGGTTGAATGGTGGTTGTCTACGTGGCCATGCGTGCATGCATGGTGTGGGTCCAGTTTGCGTTTGGCGCACGGGATGTGCCTTGGTGGGTAGGGCCCAAAACTTGCGACACAGAGTTCTGAAGCAGATGAAGGGGCGGGCCCCGGTCTTCGTCCACAAGCAGGACTTGTTCCCTCTCGATGGCTAGCTCCGGGATGCGTTTTGGTCTCGTTTACACACAACCTATGTGAAGGCTTATGCGTGCCGCTCTCGATGTTCGACCACACCCACACCGCGAAAGGTCCCAAGAAATTTGGATCCCTCATGAATTTGCACGGATTATAGCGGCGACAGACAAGACTCGACACTTTTTGCCCTTAACAATGGCTTTGAGGCGGCCCTGCCCATTGGTTGCACATGGCAAATATATGGACCAGAGCTTAGCATGGAACTGTCACCCCCAATCCCTGCTGTGATTTCATGTGGCCGCGGTATAGATCCTGAATTTCCGAGGATACTGCCCTAGAAATGCGGCAAATGTCCCGAATATGGCAAGCGCGGGCTCCGAGAAAGGCCGGGACCTTGCATGCGCTTTTGGATTGTTCTCCGTTGACCCAAGAGAGAGCATCGACGAGAAATGGAGGAACGGGCCCGCATTCATTGCGCAAACCGGACACGTTACCTCAAGGTAGCTAGATCCAAGCCATGCACCCCCGCCGTCTAGACCCACGTGATGCACCACTTAGACACTAGACCCGCATCACTTACTCCGGCCCCCGAGCCAACCATTCCCCGTGTAGACTCATATGCCGCACCCTGCAAAATAGCTTAGCACAAGACTTCCACACCGATTTCCACAACATGCACCACTACACGTAAGTGTCCAAAAAATGGACTATCTCATTATCAACATTTTTTTACCAAAACAAGTAAGTTGTTTTTAAATGGCTTGAGAATAGCAAGGTTTTTGTTAAATTATAATTTGATTAATTACACATTATAACGTGCATTTGTTGTCCCTCAAAAAGGGGTGCATTCCTTTTTGTAAACCCACAAAATTACTTCCTTTCCCTCGAAAAAATGAATCCTTCTTCACCCTCTCACGATCACGATCACGGTGGCCTCGCCCTATAATCTAGGAGTGGTCGTTCCAATCTCCCCACGGGGGACAACTTCCACGCACTATCTATCTTGGTTGGTTGCAACCATCTCGCCATCACAATTTTTTATGGGAAAATCACATTCTTTTGTTTTTCCTTCCAAAGATATGTGGCGAAAAAACATGGAACAAAAATTGTAGAAGGCATGGTGGGATACGTGCACATGTTGTCTTTTTGTACTACAAGTGCACTTGTTGGCAAGTTGCATGTGCACGTGTCATGTTTCATATTTTTATTGAAAATTATGTTGTACACCTTTACATAGACGCTTGAATTATTGTTTTCGTATGTTAATAACTCCTAAATATTGAAATTCAGCATGCACATAACACATGGTTTCCAAGCTTCGTCAGTGACCGCTTGGATTCGTCTGGTATATGCCCGCTGTCTGGTACTGGGCAAGGGAATGTGGATCCATGCGATGCCATGTGTTTCATCTGGATCCATGTCATGCACCCCCAACCAGTCGGGCCGACATCATGTGCCGCTAGGCTTCTCGATCCTAACCATGCGCTAGTGTCCATCATTTTGGCTGGCACTAGTGAATGACGTTGTATCTCGGTGTGCAATATGTGTAGTCGCGTGTTGCTTTGACATACCTAAAATGTCGAGGGAAGGGACTCGTGTCGGAGGTCCAATGAACCACGGAGGGGTCAATAATGGATGGATGGTGTGGGTGAACCTGGCAAACGGTTCACGGTTTAAGTGAAGCTGGCTAGGTGTGCATGGCTGGGTGCTAGATGGCTAATGAGTGCGCATGCGTCTTTGTACATTGTCAAGGTTCACCGGTGAGTGCCTACTTGGCCACGCGTGCATGCATGGTGTGGGTCCAGTTGGTGTGTGGCGCACGGGACGAGCCTTGGTTGCTAGGGTCCACATCTTGCGGCACGGAGTTCTGAAGCAGATGAAGGGGCAGGCCCCGCACACCGTTCATAGGCCAGACTCGTTTCCTCTCAATGGACAATGGCTCCGAGGCGGCCCTTCTCTTTGGTGGCACATGGCCCATATATATGGACCAAAGAGCTTAGCATGTGATTGTTACCCCATTCCCTGCTATGATTTCATGTGGCCGCGGTATAGATCATGAATTCCCGATGATACTACCCTAGAAATGCGGCAACTGTCCCGAATATGGCACACGGGACCCAAGAAAGGCCAGGACCTAGCATGGGAGTTTGGATTGTTCTCCGTTGACCCGAGAGAAAGCACCGATGAAAACGGAGGAACGGGCCCACACTCAGTGCGCAAACCGGATGCGTTACCTCAAGGTAGCTAGATCCAAACCATGCACCCCCGCCGTCTAGACTCACGTGGCGCACCACTTATGCACTAGACCCACACCACTTACACCGGCCCCCAAGCCCAAGAATTCCCCCCGGGTAGACTCATATGTCGCACACCACAAAATAGAATTAGCACAAGACTTCCACCCCGACTCACCAGGTTACTACCTTATGCACCCCTAGCCAGCATGATACACTGCATGCACCTAGAGCCACCTGGGCCCACAGCATGCACCACTACACGTACGTGTCCACAAAACGAACTAACCCATAATCAACTTTTTGTTGCCAAAACAATTTAGTTATTTTTATAATGGCTTGAAAATAGCAAGGTTTCTGTTAAATAATAATTTCCTTAATTACAATAAGGTCCATTTTGTAACCACACAAAAATCCTACCTTCCCTCGAAAAAAAGATTTCTTCTCTCACGATCACGATGGCCTCACCCTATAATCTAGGAGTCGATCCAATCTCCCCACAGGGGCCAAGTTGCACGTAGTAGATATTTTTGGTTGGTTGCAAATTTCTCTCCAAAACGGTTTATTATGAGAAAATCACCTTATATTTTTTTACTTCCAAAGACATGTGGCGACAAAAGCATGGAACAAAATCGTAGGAGGCATGGTTGGATACGTGCACATGCTGTCTTTTTCTACTACAACTAGACCTGTTGGAAAATTGCATGTGCACGTGTCATGTTTCAGTTTATGTTAAAAATTATGTTGTACACATTTACATAGGCGATCGAATTGTTGTTTTCATATGTTAATAATCCCTACATATTGACCACGTGACACACGTGGTAAGCAATCCAAACAATTCAAAAAAAATCCCTAAATATTGAATTTAAGCATGCTCCTAGAAATTATCAGTCATAGAACCAACATCTCTTACGAAGAGATTAAGGTACTTCCACATAAAATCTAATACAATAAATTCAAAGGATCAACTTAATACATTAACATCACATAGGGATGTAGCCCAGGAATCCAACGAGTAGAGAGAAAAGGAGGAACAAAAGCTAGAAGAAGAAGGACCAGCCAGCAGCAGCGCCATCAGCCTCCTAGCCTCACAACTCCAGGTCTCCAGCCTTGTGAACTCCAGTTTTTTTCCTGCGAAACACGAATGGCAAAGTTGCTGTTATAGGTTAGGACTTAGTGAAAATTACAGTTATGTTGAAACAGTTATAATGACAAACAGTGTTGACATGATGGTTACAACAAGCAAACAAAACCAAGCTCACAAGTGCAACTTACTTTTAACATCAAACAATTATATTAACATGGCCACTTTAGAGCAAGATTTTACCATGCAACATAAACTTGTCATAGCAACAAAAGGCATGGCATGAAAGTATTGACAATGTAATGCAAATAAATTTTAGGAAGCATGGCCATAGAAGTTATATTTTTAGTGGCAACCTTCAAGCAAAGTTGCATAGTTTTATAACAGAAAGAGCTGCTGTTATTGGTAGAGGCACACTGAGGTTGGCTAGCCATCGAGGATGACCAGTGGGCCAGGGGCCACATGACTGGGAGCATTTGTGTGTGCGTGACTGCCGTGGGACCCGGATGTCAGTGGCTTACTTTGAAAACAAAAGGGGGATTTATA